AAAACTTAATATTTCTTTTCCAAAATACTATCAACCCCCGGCGGCAACTCTTCTAATTATATGAAAATAAAAGACAACAGTCATTCTAAGTTGGCTTAAACTCCATCCATTTAAGAAAAAAGGAATTTATTTTAATTTATATTTTTTTTAATAATTTTTGCTTAAATCAATTGTTGCTATAAGTAACCGGTAATCGGAGCAAGTCTGTTTTAGTTGAAAATTTTTTATATATTTTTCAGCAAAGGAGACAAAATCCGGTTTTTTTTAATCCTTTTTGCACCATATATTTGTGCTGAAACTTCGAGTTGTCAAAAACCGGTTTTTATAAACCGGTTTAAAAAGAAACATAATGTATGTCATATTGGGAAGGCCTCCAAAATTTTGTCAAAATTCTCTTGTCAATAATTTTTTTCCCAAATTTCGAAAAAACCCGGAAATTTCAAGATATGAATCAATTTTATTTGATGAAGGCACATTTTGAAGTATTTTCCACCATCTAAATGTAAGAATTTTTTTTTTATAAAAATGCCACTGTGCTGACCCACCGTGCTGCATGAGAGAGATATTCCGCAGAGTGGCAACGGTGGTCAGCTAAAGTACTTGTGCGCAGCTCTGCAGTTCAAGCGATAGCCAGTCAACGAAGTCCATACACAAATGTTGTTGGTATAAAACACGCTATGGATTAAGTGACCAACATGCAATGCGACAACAAGAGAAACAATTTTTAATCATAAGAATAATAGTTGCCGGAACAAGTCGCTTTGCTTAGCTGCTACAGCTACGGACTGCAGTGGCTTAGATAGTCAGAGATCCGTTTGTTGTTATATTAAGTTTGCCTTAAATTAATAAAGTTGAATGTTACTCATATGTTTGTATGTATCTATGCATGCCTGTCACTTACATCTATTTTATATATAGATATATATACACATATATTTATGTGTACATTTGCTGGCATTTAGTTCCTTTAAGCTCTTTCAGTAAAGGGATTGTCGCAAGTTTTAGTGCGACATCAACCAAAGAGGAGATAATCAATAACTCGAAAAAAAAGATCCAAAAAATAAACTACAAACCTTGTATGCTATAAACAAGACCAGCTCTTCCAGTAGAGAAGGAGGAAAAGCGGAAAGAAAGAGTTCTTTGATCGCAGAATTTTCAATATGGAGCAAATTTAGAAAGTAGGGAGTAGTGGCAAGGGAGAAAACGTGACCTGTAAAATGTAGAACCCTTAAAAAGGCTCAAGGGCGCATGTAAAAGATATTCAATGCCCAGGCACGTTTGTCAATCTACGTTTCTTCAAAGCCCTATTCCAAAATCTACAACATACAGGAGCACTCATAGCAAGTTTTTGAACTATGAAATTAATAAAAAATAAAGTGCAGATCTTCTTTCACCAAAAGTACTAAGTGAAAGGGTTTTCTTCGACTAACTTGGACTTGCCTTAAGGAACTAGCAGTAAGGAAATAATTTGATACGCTCTTCTGAGGGAAAGCTTTCAGTTCCACTAACAACTTCTAAATATGAGAGGAGTATATAATATGTTGCCCAACCTCCTTGTAGCTAAAAATCGGATGTGGCTAAAGAGAAAAGTGCCTCAAAGCGTATTGATTTCTTGTATTTCTTTTTTTTTTTTTGAAGATAGATTTAAAGAAGAGGGATAAAATTTTAAATTAAAGTGAAATATTATAATTTAATCCAGGCAAAAGATGAAAATGTTTTCTGAGTAAATTCTCTCCCTCAATTTACATTCAGCTAGTCTTTTTCACACAACAATATCTACATGTTCTACATATACATACTAAGCCAATAAATACAATTACAAAACAAACAATTAGTGTGGAAAAGCACAAAGTAGACAAAACTTTGCTCCGACAAAGCAACCCAATGTCAATCAAGGAAGTCCCTTGCATGACAAGGTTACAATTACATAAATGCAGCGACCAATACATAGTAGTTGAGAGTAATGCTCACACATGTACTTCTATTGTCAATTTTAATCTACGATTTATTCACCTCGGTCCCCGCCCATCGTTTCTAAACGATCAAAGGAGGATGTAAGTTCAGCGATAATGTTTGAACTATGTTGCCCAACAACAAACTTTATTCATCTTATCTTAGTTGACACATTTTACATTGTTCGTATGTACGCTATGCCATTAAATCCAAGGGGGGTTGATGGGGCGTATGAGTGATGTATAATCGCTCAATAGCATCGCTTGACATCCAACTGCTTACATACCAAGTGAGATAATATAGAATATCTATATTGGCTTACTCGAAATTATAACAAAAATGAAAATACCAACAAAAACAAACAACTGTTATCATATCCCCACCACCACTTCCCCGAAAAGTCTAGGATATCTATTGCCAACTGTGGATAAGTTGATAACTTGGCGATAAGTTTCGTGTGATTTTTATTCATATGGACGTGTATGCGTGTGTTAGCGAAATGGCCAATTTGTAATGTGGATATATGCTACGCTAACATGCTTATAACAATTGAGTGAGTTTGCCGAAATGCTTTGAAAAAAAGAGTGAAACTACAGTTGATTAATTTTTCTGATAAATTAATTTAATTAATTTAAGAAAACTAGTAAAGTTCATTTCGAGAAAAAGGCTGACTTTATTTTTAACTCAATAAACATATATTTATATAGAACGTATATATAAATAATTGGCGCTTTTTATAATTGTATAATTGGCTCCTTCTCACAGTTTTTGGTTTCACGTCTTGATGTTTTTCAAAAAATGAAGGGACTTACATTTTATACTCAGCGGCCTCCGAATGGTTGGTGGTTGCTTTAAGAAGAGTTTTTATTTCTTTTCAGAAGAACACTGGGAGGGGTTGACAATTCCCGCCGAGGGGCGAGCGCAGTTAGAAAATTTAGCTTAATTTTTTAATTAAATTAATTTCCTATAAATTTTTGGATGTCAGTACAACACCAGAATTCGTACCCGCGCCTTTCTAATGGCAGTACGCAATGCTAATCACTCGGCTAATACGGCCTCCAGAAGTTTTGTATCGTTTTTAAATTTATCTAAGATTTTGTTTTATATAAAAATCAGCCATTTCATTTTCCCACCATAAAAATGTGTTTAATTAACAAAAAAGGTAATAATTAAGTTTGACTAATTTCCTTGCCGTCCGCCAATGATTTTATAAAACTTTTTAAGGTAGAAAAATTTTTCAAATTCTAATTACAAAAATATGTGATAAAGCTTAAGAATAAAGAGTAATCGGGTGCTCACTTTGATTTTCAAAGAAAAATGGCATTTTTCTTTCATGATCTGATGTACATTTCAATATAGAGAAGAAGATATGAAAATATGTCATTAATAATGAAAAACAATATCGTCACGGTCTCGCTTAGAAGAACTTAGCCTTTCTATGAAATTTTCCATCACTAAATTGCAAAGTAGCTGCTGTCTACCCTCAATAGCTTCAAGGATAACATCTTTGAGGACTTAAATAGACATTGGTATATTGTCTTAGATCTAATCATTCACGTCATCTAACAAAAGAGGTCTCGTTGACCAAATGCGATCACTCCTTCGAGCGAAAAAAGGTCAGGAAATTTTTCCTTCAAATGGTCAATGGTTTTGTTGTTTGTGTGGCATGCAGCGCCACTTCATGCAGATTAGTACCATCCAATTTCAGCCCTAAAAAGGCACTAATGATCTCACCATAGCGAAATCCATTCAAGGTAACTGTCGCTTCAGCTTCATTTTCGATAAAGCTAGGCCCAATTGTACCAAACAGTTACCCCCTGAGGATGAGAAACTTTTCAAGAATAAAACTTGACAGCGACAGTTTTGCTTATTGAAATAGCCATTGGGGTGGAAATGGGTAACATCAATTAAAATGAATTTTCTATAAAATTCCCGACCCAATTTCAAGCATTTTAGGGACACAATCTGCAAAGACACGTCGCTGTTGGTGATTTGTACGCTCGAGTTCTAGTGCTAACTGAACTTCATAAACCTTAAAATCCAAAACCTTATGCAAAATACGATGTTACGGCGTTTGTGGAACGCTCGAATTGCAAAGAATGACTAGGAATGTACAAACCTGGGTTTCCTTCAACTCTTTTTGGCGACAACAGCAACTTTCTCAGTTATTTTCGAGCGACGTATTTTCTTCTTCCAACCACTTACTTGTCCCGAAAGCCCCAAGAAGGAGTTTCACCACGATCGAAAAATGTTTTGGTTTTACGAAACTTGCCTGCTAAACTTTCACCATTTTTATAGTGAATTTCGTTATTACAATGCTTCGTTGAAGCACATATAGTTCTCCTTTTTATTACTGGCGTAGATTTTCCATAACGAATTTCAAAAAATTACAGCTTCAAAGTGGCATCTACTAGAATGTCAGACAATTCAAAATAACACATCTTATTTGGAAAGTTTTTATTTTCACTTGTAAATGAATTCCGATCGATTTTTTTTTTTTTTTTGTTCATTAAGTAATTTAGTCGTGAGAAGTATTAAGTTTGCCCCATCTTTTTGATAGTTTCCCAAGACCATTTCCATAAAGTGAGTATTATCTGTCTTTGAACTAATTGAGCCACATTTCGATTTTTTCCAAAGACTCGAACCGGTGACCCCCATTAAAAAATAATAGTAGTCAGAAGAATAATACGGCTATAATGCCTTTCGATAATTTTTGGTAATTTCGCATCAATGGTTTCACCAGGTTTTAGCAGTTCATACAACACCACAGCCGCCTGGTTCCATCAGGACGCTCTTCGCCGCTAAAATCACCAGTTTTGAAGCGTGGAAATCACTCTCTCCATGACTTACCGATCAGCACAGAATCATTGTAAGCTTCTTCAATCATTCCATGGGCTGCAGCTTGAATCACCAGTTTTGAAGCGTGGAAACCACTCTCTCCATGACTTACCGATCAGCACAAAATCATTGTAAGCTTCTTCAATCATTCCATGGGCTGCAGCTTGACTTTTCTACCAATCAATTTCGTTAAGATAAAACCTACTTACCGCTGTTTCAATAGCAGAATATAGCTGAGGTCTGAAAGAAGTAAAAGAAAAAGTTATTTAGAAAAGGTGTTTTTGAGTACTTCAGAAATCAGTATAAAGAAAGATTCTCAATGCTTTGACCAAAAAAAGTGACCTTCAACATAAAAGCATCATATTTAGAAAATTCAAATTTTAAACATTTTCCACATTTGCATAAACAAATGAATGTGGCTTTTCTTGTCTCCACAAATAATCTCTCCTCACCAGACCAGAAAATCTCCATTCCACTTACAATATACTTTCCAATACTTGTATCTACACACAACTCCACATTAGTATACATTTTATACTCATTAAAAAATAATCCATGCCATCAGGCACTTATTTCCAGCCACCCAATAAAAGCACCAACTAAAATTAGAAACAAAGCAAAATAATGTAGAACGCAATGAAAATAATTATGGCCTGTCTAACTAACGCAAAGTGCGTCATAATTTGCAGAAATCTCCGGTGACAGGCAGATAATGTAAATGTAAATTAAAACCTATTTCGGTGCTTAACAACCTGCTAATTGCTTTTCTCGCCCAGCCAATGCAGCATTAAAACATTTAAATGTGCGCGAAACGATGTGATGATGAGCGACGCGCCGCAAAGTTAGCAGACTGTTGTAGGGATTATTTTAAACAGCATTACAAACAAACATACATTCAAAATAACAACAGGAGATGTTTAGTTGTTGTTTGAGTGGTGACTTTTAAGGGCACGTATACGCCATGGCGTCGCTGTAATAAATGTTCCGGCAAATGCACGAGTAAGCAGCAGCCATGTGAATTATGGTGTTATTGTTGTTGCTGTTGTATTTCTATTTTCTTCGAAAATATTGTATTAATCGCCAAATGTCAAATCATTTTTCATTTGACATAAAAATTATTTGACATTTAAGACAAACACAAAATGAAGGCATACGACCATGAGACATAGGCCTTCATTAGGGTGGACTACCAAAAATAATTAAATAACCCAGAATAAAATTCTACGAATAAGGTGAAATTAAAATAAAAAACAATTAAATTAAGTAAAACTAAGCAAAATAGAATCATTCAAATTAAATTATATGAAGAAAAAATTTCATCAATATCAATATTATATTAAAAAAAATAAAATTAATTAATTAGAGTTGATTTTTTATTTGATCACACTTCACGCTAATTTATTAGACTACCGTTATCACGTCGGTTCAACAAATTGAAACAAAAATAGCGCCTGTGGTAAGAACATGATTTCGCGAAGTTGCTCTCATGCAACATTGGCGTCGAAAGGGTTAACAAAGGCTATTTAAAAAAATAATAATATAAAATAATAAGAAATAAAATTCAAAAAATAAAATAAAATAAAAAAGATAATATAAAATGATATGGCATGCATAAAATAAAAAAAAAAAATAATATAAAATAAAATAAAATAAAACAATATAAAATAAAATAATATAAAATAAAATAAAATAAAACAATATAAAATAAAATAAAAGGAAATAAAATGACATAAAATAATAAAAAACAAAATGAAATAAAATATATAAATATAAAGCAAAAATAATTTAAATAATAAAAAGTAACATGAAAATAAGAATAAAGAAAATAAAATAAAATAAAATAAAATAAAATAAAGTAAAATAAAATGAAATGATGAAATTAAATAAAATAAAATAAAAAATAAATAAATTAAATAATGAAAAGTAACATGAAAATTAGATGAAATAAAATAAAAATAAATTAAATTAAATGAATTCATTGTAATCATATTAAGGTAAATTAAAATAAAATTCAAAAAGTCAAATCAGCACTTTGATTATATTATGGTAACTAATATTAAATAAAAATTCTGTATTTATAAAATTAAATTAGGTTAAATTACATAAATTAAAATAAATCAATAAAAAAAATAAAATAAATCGATTTATCATATAAATTTATTTATTGCAAAAATTCAACCCTAATGTAGTCTTTGAATATATTGTTGCTGCAACATGGCACAATCTCCATCAGCAGCATGCCTTTCAGTCAACCAATTTCAGCTTAAATACAATAATGCTAACAAATATACAAACATATTTCTCAACTACCAAAACATCCCACATGAGTAATCGAAAGTATCAGCAAGACTATGAAAACGTTGGGCGACGCACTGGCTACCGACGAAGAATAAACTGGACTACGACTATACACGTACATAAATACATATATTTATATACGCGCGCACACAATTAAATAAGTACAAGTTGAATATGTTCCGAGATGTGGCTCCTCTTTCAAACATCGTTTACGCTAAAAGCACCAAAAATTCTACACAGCCACTAATGCTGAGTTGTACGACAGTATTGAGTGGTATATAGATGTATGTATGTATATATTATATGAATGTACGTGTATGTGTCCACAGCTGAGTTTTAGAAACCGGCGTTCAGGCATTGAGTTTGGTGTTAGACATTTGTGAGCCGCCATTGCCATCGAGTACTTCATGCTTGTCATCAATCTTATTTAATAGTCGTTCGCACAATTGAATTATTACATGTGTCAGCTGCTGTTCTCCTACTCGCTTAGCAGCGGCGTGAGTGTGGTAAACTGAGCAAAGTAGAGTTGTAGTTGTGGCAGAATTCAATCTAAAATATGTTGTTGAAAATGTATGCTCTTAGCATTACTTATAAATTTTCGGCGTATTAAGTTGCCCAGCAGGATCAGTGTTAAAAGAAATTGTGGAGCTTTGGGGGAAGTTTTTAGATTCTCATAGGTCCAAGTGGAATTTTATTGACAGCTGGTTTTGGTTTGTGATATATTCCAATACTTCCAGGATATCTTCATGTAGTATATGAAAAAGACCAAACAGTGGGCATGGGCAGATTTTTATATTAAATACAGAGATCGGATAAAAACTATATGTACTGTTATATGAGAGGTAGGACTGTTTCTGAACCCAAGTCAGCCATTTTTGGTGAACTTTAGTTTCGATTAAAATTCATAATTACTTGATTCACTTCTAGTAATTAATGCCTCAAATATTCACTCTTGAGCTAAGCAAGAATGGAGAGTAAAAATATCGTTAAATGAGGAAAAAGTGTAGTAGTTTTTCGATTGCGCCCATAATCAAATGTACTAGTACAGGTCATGAGGTTGGGGCAACGTCTACCTGGAAATTTTGTCACATTTCATTCACTTTATGCGATACTCTGTGTACATATTTCGAAACTATTGCCAAGCATGAGGCCATAAACTTCAGATACAGATACAGACTTTTGAAGGTTCAGTGGACGGAATTGCGCAGCAGAAGTGCTACCGCATAACGCGCTCTTTCATCGGAAGACATAGTTCTGTGTACAAACTCCACCGTAAAATTATAAATAATAAGTCTGTGAGTCGGTCGACGGACTGCACATCGTGGGTACTAACTAACGATGGCATGATGAGCTGAATGGTTTATAGGATGGGTTTGCCGTAGTTCACTAACTGAAGCGACAGTAGTAATGCTGGCTTCAGCATGTCGTCCGAATAAATTAAAGCGCTCGAACTTTGGAACTTTTCGATACAGTGCTCGCCGGTGGAAGCAGGGCAAAAGGAAAACCTCCACTTCTTTGGAGAAAAATGGAGCAGAACCTGGCTTCGTTGGATTTCTCCAGTTGACACGGAAATGCTGAGAATATAAACGAGTGGCGCACTCTAGTTAACTCGGTTATAAGCGCCATTAAAGAACTAGAAGAAGAAACATTCAAGCAAACACAACGAATTTGTAATGAAAACCAAGAGAAAGTTTCTAAGGCGACAACTCCCATGACTTAGACACTTTCAACTTAAGGCACACTTTCGTTTAAGCCATGTGACTTGAGCATTCACGCAACTTAAGCCAAACTTCTAAGGCATTTCTTGTGGTAAAAACTTAGTGCTATGTGGCTGGCGATGGATGCAAATTCCGAATACACTTATTTGGAAATTGTCCCACAATCGATTGTTAACCAACTAATTGAGTGCCTTTGAAGGGACTAACATCCTCATTGGGTTAGTATTTATTTTCTTAAGTGCTTATTTACTCTCACTTGCATTTGTTTATGCATTTAGTCTTGGCCGCTGGCGATTGTGGTCGAGCTGACGTCACTGGCATTCAGACGCCATTAGTAAGCACAAGCAAACACAGCTCACCACTTCCCCGTATCGGCTAGGCAAACATACATTACTTGCCACTTGCGCTTAAGTACAATGAAGTAACTGCCCTTGAGTGCGTTGTTATTGCTTTTGTTGTTGCTGTTTATTTATTTGTATTTATGTCTACATAATATTGGTCTCTGGCATGACACACACTTTCATATGTACATATATGTACGAATATATATACAGGAAATACGACCCTTCAACCAACCAAAAAAAAAAAAAAAAAAAATAAAAATGTTGCTGATTTTTGGCAGCTGCGGTTGTGAGCTTGGCATTACTTGCAACTTTTTTTTTGTATCTTTTGCCTCTTACCCTCCACTCTATCCTCTGTGATATGCCACACACTGACACTGATATCGACATTATTGGCCAAAATTAAAACAATTTCAACATTTTCCGCTTTTCGTCGTCCCTGGCGATAAATAAACTGTCAGTGTCATGTTATTGTCATTGGTTGTTGTAGCTGTTGTAGTCGTTGTAAGTGTTGCTAGTCAGCAGAATAAATATGAGACACAAGTTGAGTGCCACATAGACACACACATACACATACACGCACAGGCACACAGTGAAACTCGCTTTATTACTTTATTGGCTAATGTTGTCACTATTTGCTATTGTTGTTGCTGTCGCAGCACAAAATTTACGGCCAACAACAAACGATACACAATATATGTACACAAGAATTGTATACAAGAATTATACAGCAGTAAAATACAACAACAACAACAACAACTGTAAACTATTGTACATGCAATACATATGTTCCAACATGTGTAAGTGAAACTGCTTTGCTCTCTGACGCCCTAAATTCTCATGTATGGCTCAACACAAGCAAAGCCAAAAATAAAATAAAAAT